TATTTAGTCAATTAATGGCTGGTTTTATTTGTCGATACGACCACGCTATCAATCGCTTAAAAAAAAATAAGAATAATAATAATTAAAGGTATAAACTATTTCTAAATAATTTATCAAGAAGTTGGTGAAGAGAATTTAAAACTAAAATGTTCATACAATGCCGTGATCATATGATTCTATAATATAATTAAGTGATCGAAAATAATATACATATTTCGAAAGCCCAACAGATTTGAAATAATGTAAATTATTTTTTTTTGAATAATAAATAAATTTTGCTTGAGATTATTAAATACATGAAAAAAATTGAACAAGTTACTATTCAATTGTTTGCTTTGATTGATTTTGTTTCTTCTTAAACTGGATGTATATTCTTTCAAATTCAAATTGTTTTTTTTTTTGGTAACAAAATTTCCAAAAGGTTATCACCGCATTTTCGCGTAAAATTTGAGTATACCAAATCCAACAATCTCGATCGAAGTAATAAAATGGTAGAAAAAGATCTGAGATTTTCAGAACAATCAAGAAATAATAAGATTGAAGATTTTCATATTATATAACAAACTTCATTAAAAAAAAGAAAGAAAAATCTACAAATAAACGAATACAAAAAAAAAACTATCTAAAATAATCCTCGCCGGACATAGGTTTGGTATGAAGTCTTCCTTGAATCAATGGGATTGATCTCTAATCAATCAAAAGATACATACATCTCCCACCTAAAATATTATTATACGGAATTTTAATTAAAGTAATAAAATTTAAAGAATTTTTTTAATATCTTCAATTTCATTATAATTTGTAAATCGGTCATATAAAATTTTTCTTTATTTAATTGTTTGAATTATTATTTGCATTATTTGAATAATTTGCATTAATTAAATTACTTAAATTGAGTTACTATGTTTATAACTGATGCTCCAACGCCGTTCTTTTAAAAATTTTCAATTCAAAAGTGCGCCCTCGGCCTTCAACGACACAGCCTAGACGGAATGATTTTAAAAAGATAATAAATATGATCCTTTCTTTTGAACTAATAATTCGTATCATTCGTAACTAACCAAACGGTTGGTTAAATGTGAAATTGTTACCAAATGGTTTTTCTTGAAATTCTTGAAAAAATTTTCTTGCCATTGGTAGCAGGTTCGAAACGAAACAAGTTCGTTTGTCACAATGTATATTTTCAGGACGCAAAAGAATTATTTTCTCGTGATAAATAGAATTTTAACTTACAATGATTCAAATGATTGGTTGATATAATATGTGCTGTAAATGTTTCACAAAGATTTTTTTCCATCTTTTATAGTTTTTCATACTTTCCATACTTTCCATAAATATGTTAAAAGCAATAACGGATAACATTAAAAATATTTTAATTGCGGACGCATTCCTTTTCTTTATTACACATTTAGCTTTACATTTTGTACAAACTTTGAAACTTATATTTTTATTAGTGCTCTAAGCAAGTTAAATTTCATGCAATATTGAAAAGTTTTGCGACCTAATTATGCGTCTTACACTTTCTGCGAAACATGTAGCGAGTTTGTTCATTGGTTGTGATTGGAAAACATTTTCATAGTACAAACAGAAGAAATACCATATAATTGTGATGGTTTAAAAAAATCTCCAAAATTTTTCACAAATTCATAATAAATGTCCTCCCTAGCAATTATAGAATTCACATGGGACTTGTTATATATCATATATGACAATAATGACATTCATACTTGACCAAATAGCAATAAAGTGAATAATCTTTGGATTAAACTCAATTTTGGCAAAATAAAAGATATGAAACAAAAAAAAGGTAATAGATATGTTGTTCAGGTGAATATGCTGTGATAAAGATTTCAAATAAATTCGTATAAATATAATAAATATGTTAATAATCTTTTTCTTTTAATTTAATTATTTATTAGTGACGGGTGAGAAGACAATTTAAGAGCAGAATTTCTTTGCTATATGCTAAACTGAATTGAGCGAAACAACATAATCTCAACTATCCGAAATAGTTTGGAGATACTTTGTCGGCGCTATTGGGAGATAATTGTTGTTTGCAAGTAATTCTTTGGTAGTTATTTTACAAAGCGAATTATTTTACACGTTTAAGATAGCAATTTGGTAATTAAAATTGATGTGATGTAGGAATAAGAATCTATAGGATCATATTATTGATACCTTCTGAATTTTATTGAAAGTTCTATTTATGTAATATAAATCAATATTAATAAAAAAAATAATTTATTTCCTTTTAATCAAGTTATGATTTGAGCACGAAAAAATTTTTTTGCTCCTACCATGTACATTTTCCGATTAGTAATATACGATCATCATCTATCAGCTTCAAATTTTGTTTATTACTTATTATAGTTAAAAAAAAATTATATATTTTGAAGTTCTTGGTATGATAAACTTTAAAAAACAGAATTGAGGTAATGCCTCCGGTAACAGTCAAAAAATGTCCGAAATAAATAATAAAAAGAAATTTCATATAAGCTTTCTAAAATTAGTAGAAAATATTAAATAAATATAAAATTAAGGTTTGAAATTTGAACTCCCACCACAATCATTAGGACGAAATCAAATGTAAAAAAACTCATGCGGCTCATTCTTAGTGAATGAGCCGATAAAGATGAATTTGAAAACCCGAATACTATTCAATGTATTCTCAGGTAATTATATTATTATCATTGATTTTCCTATATCAATAACTTCTGATAGATTGAACAAGCCAATTTTCTACATGAAACTATTTATAAATTTTTCCTTGAGTTGGATTGAGATTGAACTTGAGGTTTCACACAAAAATTTTCACACAAAAAATAAAACCTATTTGATATATGATTCATTATTTTAATAAAATTAAAACGCGAAGTAGGCAAATTAGTCTAAAAAATTATTTTAAATAAAAAGATGAAATTGACAACAGTAACAGTAATAAATAAGAATAATACTTACCCGATAAATAATTGTTTCTTGAATCCTAATTTTCTGATTGTAGAAATAAATGATGTTATGATTGAAATTATTGTTAGAAGTTATTACTAATCTGTTATTCTAATAATGAAAATATCAAAGAAATTGCTAAAATTCGTGGCTGAAAGTCATATTTAAAAAAAAATATCGCCGCGAAAAAAAATTTTCCCTGACTTTTCGTAGATATTGTTCCTAATTATAACTAAAAAGTAATCAATTTTGAAATTTATCAGAAATACTGTATGAGTGGCATAAAAATGTGATCTTTATATTGTATCTTTAAAATTACATGATTATTTATAATTATTAATTTGTTTCAATCTTAGTTCTTCATTTTCGATTTCCACCTTTAATTTTTCCATTTGAAATTTATGGTCATACTCTATTTTTTCTCGCTCTAATTGCTCTAATTCTAATTTTTGTTGACTAGTATTACTCCATGACTCTATATTATTTTTACTTCTTTTTCTTCGGCAGCAGCTTTGCGCTTCCTTTTATTTTTTTCTGCTTTCTAATATTAAATATAGATTCTCATAATATAACTTGTCATTAATTATTGATTTACCAGTAGATTTGGTTTTGCATTTGACCGTATTAAACGCATAGTACCCGGTCTTGTTAGCGATGGACTTGCATTAACTGGAGCATTTGACCATGTAAATCTCGTAGTACCTCTTGATATTAGTTGAGTACAGTTCACCTTCACTATAGTGAATCCCATGGGCTGGAGATTAAAATTCGATATAGTGAGAAATTCACTATACTGAGGGTCATTTTATTATTCATAAAAAAAAACTGTACCTGAACTTTTCTTCATTATAGCAAGTTATTCACTATATAAAATGTAAGGACAAACGCGTACAAAAGAGAGGGAACACGAAATAGTAATTTAGTTGTCGTACAAGATCTGCAATAAGATCTGCAGAGTGCCGACATCCCTGCTTCTGACCAATATAATTTATTTAATACCTCTTTTTTTTAAATGACCACCTCTTTAATCAAAATTTCTATAAAAAAAATCTTAAATACAGAATTTTCTAAAATGATATTTGCTACCAGTTTAAATATTAAAGAATTATGATACATAATTCTTGATTTGATTTTAAGTTCCAAGTTTACAGTAGGTTATCAGTAAAAATGCGTTATTTAAATCGAAGATGATTTTTCAAATGAAATTCTAAAAATAAACAAAATAATAATATAAAAAAACTTTTCTTTACAGCTATACTTTATTCGTGGAATTTCAAATTATAAGATTATTAATTACACGTCCGAACACAGTAATTTCAAAGATGAAACGGATCTAATTAATATGGACAAAATCCGACAGTATGTTCCGATATAAATAATAAAAATAATTTTATTATGAAACGTTGCTGTGGTCCTGTTTTAGTTAAGTTTCAAACAAAACTTTGTGTTAAATCCCGAAATATACTAACTGCATCGATAATCCTACTTATAAGAATAAGATTTTAATTCAAGTAACAGCTGGTTATCAATTGCTTCAAAGAATGATTTAAAAATTGATGGATTATGTAAAATTTTCCAATATACCAGAAAATTTAATCAAGCTGAACGTTATTTGATAAAGGAATAGGTAAATTGGACGCTTAAATTATATGTTGATATATACTTTCTATTTTCAAAAAAATAGAAGTAATTCCTCAATAGTATTTTAATTCCATTATTAAAATTTGAACTAATAGCAAATTCGATTAATAGCAAATTCGATTAAATATTATAAATAATAAATATTTGAAGAGTTTCGTTCATTTTATTTTTCTTTAGTTGTTAAGGCAGTGAGTAAAAAGATTTTAATAAGAATTTTTTTTCTAATGTTTGTCAAATTTCTATAAATATCTAAAGGAAATTTTCATAATTATGGTCCTAGTCGCTGACAGCGAACCTAGTTTTTATGAATTAATCATACATATATTTACATTCCTTTTTGATTGAAAACAATATTTTAATTAAAATAATAAGTTATATAATCGATACTTTTAATAAGTCTATATATAGTTATATACCCTTTTTGAATATGAATATAGAAAGTACCCAAACAAAATCTACTAGGAAATCGAAAAATTACGATATATTGAAAAGAGCTTTTTAAAGGATTTGCCAAGTATAGGTATAAAAGTACACCATAATAATATGATCTAAAACCCATTTTATTTAATTTCTTACTAATAATATTCTACTATAAAGTTAAGCCGATTTGTATCTCCTAAATTCAAAAATGCTTCATAATAAATGAACTTACTGATTATTTGGCAATCGACTCACATACTGATCCAACGGTTTTAATTTAAAGTAATTATCCTGACATGTTTTGTATAAATAGTCTAATATTATTTTTCTTGACCTTTCTCTTATTTTTTTATTAATTATAACAACTTCCTCATCTTCTTCGTCGATAATTTGAATATTTGTCGGAGGATTATTTACATAAACGATATTTCTACGTGGATTAATTATCTCATTACGTAATTTCTTGTCTGCATCACACTCTTTTTTACTCTTAAAGTTATTGAACTTAGTTCTCACAATAGTAACATAATCAAGAATATCATTCTCAAAAATGGAATTAAGTAAACCAAATATCTTTTCTACTTCTGCTGCTGAGAATCTACTATCATCGACCACAAGTAAAATTTGACTTATTCCTTCTGGCATAGTAGAGCAGAAACTTCTCGCTATTTTATGCCAAACTTCATTCACGGATAGATGAGTATTATAAAATCCGACATTATCAATCACATTAAAACTCTTCCCATTCCATTCAAATCCTTTTTTCTGGAAATCCAAAGTAACGCTATTTGAACAATCACTTTCCTCAAAATCTTCGGATCTGGTTAATACATTAGATAATGTGGATTTACCACTACCAGTGCGACCAATTATTATTAAATTCTTGGTTATTCTTTTCTGAATAATTTTCAAATCAGAAGGATATTTAAACATTTTAGACTTATTACTATTTTGTTCATATTCTTTCAACAAAAATTCGCAGTTGCTTATGTCAAGACTAGTTAATTTACTATTAGAACAATCAAGAAATTCCAATTCGGTACCGTTGCTTATATCTAAATTAATAAGTTTATCATTATTGGAGCAATCAAGTATTTTAATATCCGGACAAAGATTAACGCTCAATATCTCAATTGAAGTATTCGAACATTTGAGTTCAGTAAGATCACTAACTTTTAACTCAGTTAACTTCTCAGATGATGAACAATCAAGTTTGGTTATATTTGGACAATCAATCATAGATAAACTCGTAAGTTTAGGAGCATTAGATAAGCTGGTAACACTTTTAAGTTGAAGACAACCACTTATTTCCAAACTAGTTAACCCATTTGTTGAATAATTAAGCGTAGTAAGTTTCGGACAATCGATTACGGATAAATTATCAAGTTTAGAAGACGATGAACAATTAAGCGTGGCTATGTTTCGATAACCTTTCAAATATAAACTCTTAAGTTTAGTAAATTCAGATAAGTCGGTAATATTGTTAAGTTGATGACAACCACTTATTTCCAAACTGATTAACCCATTTGATGAACAAATAAACGTGGTTAATTTTGGACAACCGGTCACTGATAAACTCGTAAGTTTACTATGTTCAGATAAGTCAACCTTATTAAGTTGAGTACAATTACTTATTTCCAAACTAGTTAATTTAAGTTTCTTCAAACTAATACTTTCTAAATCTTTAAAGCTTTCTACTTTTAAAGAACCAGTAAAGTTTGAGCGCCAACCACCAGTAATAACTATAACTTTCTCTTTCGAATAATTTTCATCAAACCATTGTTGGTCTTTTTGACCCTTTTTTTTTGACATGTTTTTTAATTATTTAATTGAGTACGAAACCTTTTCTTTCATCGTTTTCTTTGTTAACTAATTATGAACTAATATTTGAGAGACATGCAGCTTACACGCATGCGCATGAATTTGGCAGGAAGCATACAGATAATCAATTTTCTTAAATTAGAGAACAAGTTTTTTTAAAAAAATTGGCCAACTGGATTTAGATTTAAAAAAGTGTGATGAGTTAAAAAAAAAAAATCGATTTAAAAAGGTGCAATTTTCATGATTGGCGAGTGATTGTCGCAGCAAAAATGAATAATATCACGTGAATATTCGTGACATATTCTTATAATTAATATCATATGTGACACACGATCGATAGGATGAACTTTTTGTATTTTTTTTCGTCGCGCTCACAATTAAAGCTTGGCTCGAGCCAAAATTCGAGCCGGCTTGATTCGATTAGAATGGCCGAGCCCGGCTCGTTTCGAACGAACTTCGGACGATTTATATTTGAATTTTTCGCTTAGTCTCACTCACGGCTCTTTTATGAGTAGAAATTTCCTTTTTTTTTGTGTTTCGTGAAAAATATAGACAAACAAAAATTGTATTTCAAATAAAATTTACAAATGAAAATGCATTTTAGTAGTTTATTATAACGACAATAATTTTATCTTAACTGTTAAACCTTTTTTTTATTTGGCTCTTTATTAAACGCTTATAATAAGCAGGAAACAAATTACCCATAAAAACGTTAAAAAAGTATAACAAATAAAAGATATCCAGATCGAAAAAACCCTAATACGTTTAGAAAATCAAAATTAATATTAATTTCTATGGTGATAAATGAAGTTTAGCGATTTTTTCGTTGACAAGTCAAGTACGGGGAAGTTGAGGAAATCGGGAATCAACATGATTTAAACCATTTTATTTTAATAATACTCTACTATGAAGTTAAATTAGTTCTGTTTTGTTACTGTAACACACCAAGTATCTTTATTATTGAACAAATTTATATCTTTAATTTATGGATAGTATATATAAACTTTATTTTTGAATATTAATTTTTAAGTAATTGAACAAAATAATTCACTAATTTTAATAAGTGTCTGATTTTTTTCTAACTCCGATGGTACATCATCACAGTTACTTTCTAAATATTCGGCAATCGGTTCACGTATCTGATCCCACGTTTTTAATTTGAAACAATCTAGCTGACATGTTTTATCTAAATAGTTTAATAATATTTCTCTTGACCTTTCTCTTTTTCTTCTATTAGTTGCAACCGTTTCTTGATCATCCTCGTCAAAAATTTGAAAATTGGTCGGAGGATTGTCTACATAAACAATATCCCTACATGATTTAACTATTTTAGCAATATTTTCGTTCTCATTATGTAATTGTTCCTTATCCGCTTCACACTCACTTTTATTCTTAAAATTACTGAATTTAGTTCTCACAATAGTAACATATTTAAAAATATGAATACCAAAAATGTCGAAAATGGATCCTTTAAGCAAGTTAAATATTTTTACTTCTTCCGTTGTGAATCTTTCATCAATCACAAATAAAATTTGGCTTATCCCTTCCGGTATAGAAAAAATTCCATCTAATATTTTATATAAAACCTTCTTTGTAGATAGTTGAGTGTCCCCAACTCCAATGGTATCAACCACACTAAAACTTTTCCCATGCCATTCAAAATCTTTTTTCTGGAAATTTTTAATAACGCTAATTGAGCGTCCACTTTCCTCAAAGTCTTCGGATTCAGTTAATATATTGAACAACGTAGATTTACCACCACCAATACGGCCAACTATTATTAAGTTCTTCATAATTCTCTTCTCAATAATCTTCAAGTCAGGAGGATATTTAAACCTATTAGATTTAGTGCCATTTTGTTCATATTCTTTCAACAGGAATTTGCAGTTGTTTATACCAAGACTAGTTAATTTACTAGTAGAACAATCAAGAAATTCCAATTCGGTGCAGTTGCTTATATCTAAATTAATAAGTTTATCGTTATTGGAGCAATCAAGTATTTTAATACCCGGACAAAGATTAACGCTCAATGTCTTAATTGAAGTATTCAAACATTTGAGTTCAATAAGATCACTAGCTTCTAACTCAGTTAACTTCTCAGTTGATGAACAATCAAGCTTGGTTATATTTGGACAATCAATCAAAGTTAAACTCGTAAGTTTAGGAACATTAGATAAGTTGGAAATCTTTTTAAGTTGTTTACAACCAATTATTTCCAAACTAGTTAACCCATTTGTCGAATAACTAAGCGTAGTAAGTTTTGGACAATCAATCACGGATAAACTCTCAAGTTTAGAAGACTTGAATAAGTTGTTAATATTAGTGAGTTGAAGACATCCACTTATTTTTAAACTAATTAACTTCTCAATTGATGAAAAATCAAGCGTAGTTAGGTTTGAATAATTTCTCACATATAAATTCGTAAGTTTAGTAAACGTAGACAAGTCGAGAATATTATTTAGTTGATGATAACCACTTACTTCCAAACTAGTTAACTCATTTAATGAACAATTAAGCACGATCAGTTTTGAACAACCAGTCACTGATAAACTCGTAAGTTTAGCAAGTTCAGACATGTTGATAATATTAAGTTGAGGACAATTATTTATTTCCAAATTGGCTATCTTAAGTTTCTTCAGACTAATATTTTTTAAATTTTTAAAGTCTTCTATTTTTAAAGAACCAGCAAGGTTTAAGCGTTTTCTACCAACAATATTTATAACTTCCTCGTTCGAATATTTTTCATCAAACCATTGTTGGTCTTTTTGATTTTTTCGACTTTTTTGCCTTGTTGTTTGTTGTGTTTTTTCATCCTAAAGTATAAGAGGAGCTGTTAAAAAATAGGAAGAAGCAAAGCGTGCACTATATTAATTAAAATGACCTACTTACTTTTTTTTCTGACTCTATTTGAGTTTGGAAGTCACAGATTATTAATATAATAATTCGAGTAAAAGTTCATCCAATGTAATTAAAATTACTACTTACTTAGCGAACGTTCCACTTCTTCAGCAATATCTCCTGTCCCGTTCGATTTGACACTGGCAATTTTATTATATAACTCATCCCAAGTTGTTAGTTTGTAGTATTTTTCTTGACATGCAGTCTCCAAGTGATTTAATAGTATATTTCTTGACCTTGCTCTTGTTCTTTTATTATTTTCAACTCTTTCTTTATCATCATCGTCTTCAATAGTAATATTTATCGGAGGGTTGTTCACATAAATGGGACCTTTACATAATTTAACTACTTTAGCAATTGCTTCACTTTCATAAATCACTTGATCTTTATCTTCGTCGCGTTTTTTTTCAATTTTAAAGTTCCCAAATTTCGTTCTCACAATAGTAGTATATTCAGTAATATCACTGTTTAAAATTTCTTTTTCAAATGACTTGAACGTACTTATCTCTACTGCCATGAACCTTTCATCAATCAAAAATAATACCTGACTTATCCCTTCTGGCATCGAATAGATTACTTCACCTAGTTTATTATACAAATCTTTCTTATCATTTAAACTAACTCCAATTTCAATCACACGATATTTTGTCTCTTTCCATATGAAGTCTTTTTTCTGGAAATTTTTAGTCTTTTTAGCTGTATAATCATTTTCCTCAAAATAATTCGCATCACATAGTACATTGCATAATGTGGATTTGCCAACATTAGTATGGCCAATAATTAATAAATTCTTAATCCCACTTTCTTGACCAATATTCATGTTAAAGATGGGCTGTTTACAATAGTTCACTATAGAAATAACCAAAAACGTTTTAATGTTAAACAGCTCTTACTAGATAGAACAATTAACGTCAATAAATTAATTTTATTGTAACAATTAATTGGTACGTGAGGAATTTTAACATAAAGTACTTGCATGGTTAAACTTCTTTTTTAAAAAAAATTCTACCAATATATAGTTTCACGATGTAACAATGATGATACCTAATTAAACATAGCAACACACTTATAGTATTTAATGCCGGCAAGAATTGGATTTTTGACCTGCATTATGATTCACTGGCCCTTTAGATAGGACGTTCTTAAGATCTTGATCAATAGAATTATAAGCTTGAGCATATCTTTTTTATAGTTTGAAATTAAGCTACGGAATTTTTTATTTTTTATAATAATAATAACTTGAGTAAAAGTTAAATAATTTTTTCTATATTGAAAAAAATCTTGCTGAGAACTCATTTTTATACTAAATTTAAGCAACAGTTGAAGCGTTTCTATCAATTGAAGATCATTGAAGAAAGAAGGTGGTTTTTAGCTCGTTCATCAAAATAGGAAGCTTTCTGAAACTCTTGTAACTTTCTGATACTTTTTTGATAAATCTGATCACTCATTAGTCTATCAATTAAAAGTGCTTGAGAATGGTGTCTTTCATGTAAACAATCCCTTTATAATATCAAAAAAAAAAAAAAATTGATGATGCCAGAATAAAGACAAGAAAAATATTACTAGACTATTTGAAAAAAATTGTCAGAGTCAAAAAATTGGAAAAGACAGTATATATCACCAAGATGAGTATATAATTCAATTTTTTGTTATATCCAATTTTGAAATACTTGATGCCATTCAACTGATTGTCTAATATTTCTTTTTAAATACAATTCATATAAATGCTCCATAATTATATCATTATTCCAATTTGCAAGTATGCATTCATTAGGTAATTTATATGAATAAAGTTCTTAATGTGTTTGGTTTATTCTATATAAAGTTAAAGAATGATTTATAACAAATAAAGTTCCACCTAATGTAGATGTCAAAACTCCAGTTTTTTTTCAAATAGCATTAGGTGAAATATCTATATATTTAGTAACATAATTAAAAAAGATTATCAACATATTGATAAAAAACTAATTGTACTCTTTTGTATTTATGAAATAATGATACTGCATAATTATGGCCAATTTTATTTGTTTTTGATATAGTAATTTTACCATAGACAATTAACAAAAATTGGGATATTTTCTACTTCAATAATAAAAGGACGAAATGTAACTTCTTCTAATAATTTTTGTGCTGTTTCAGGTTGGTCAATATCTAAATAAGAGAATCCTGCATATTTGTTTTACTACTAAAAACAGATTGATAAACAAAAGTAATATTTGCAGAAACACTTGTATTAATACTACTACTTTGTTCTTTTCCTTCACAAATATAGCCAAGTTGTAGAGAGCTATAAATATTGTAAATTATACATATAATAAATGGATTATTATTAAGTTGATCAAATTCTAAGCATAAGGGAATAGAATAATATGTTTTGTTTTTCTTGAATTTTTTCTTTAGAAAAATCCACCAGTCATACAAATATAGATCATAATGAAGTTCTGGTACAATACTACCAGTTGCAACAAGTTTTTTGAAATAATGTAGGATTTTGACATGAAAAAAAAAGAAATTTCAAACACATTTTTTTTATTATTAAACATAACATCATAATTTACTATATCTGTTCTATCAATTATATATGGATCAGCAATTAATAGTTGGTCACATTAGTAGTGGTAGGATATAAAATTCAACTTTAAAGAATATAAAGGTGAATGGAAAAAGTACTTTTTGTCTATTTTGAATAGGCCTAAAAATAGGCCATCAAAATAAGATTTCAACTAAAAGTAGAATTAAGGTAAAAATCTTAATGTATCAGAACATAACATAGGAGATCTTAATCTAGGGGGAGGGGACAAAAAATAATACATAAAATACAATATATAACCAGAATTACCATTAATTTTGGCCAAAATTTTGACCAAAAGAGTAAGCAAAAATTTTGGATAATAATTTCAGCCAAGACTTAAAGATTTGTCTAATTTCAACCTAAATTACATGTATTTTTTTTACATAAAAAATCCAAAAATTGGTGTGGCCTAATTGATAAAAGTTATCAAAGAACTTGAGTGGAAATATAAATAGTGAAATGGTATTAATACTCCTAAAAATCCAGATTAAATTAGGATTTTAATAATCTGATCTGAATCTAATCTGATTTGAATTTAATCTAATTTAAACCGAATTTAAAAATATTATTATCTCGTAATTTAGTGATTGGATTTTAATAATAACTTTTTTGTTTTATAAATTATATTAATAAACAGATTAAAAAAAAAAAGTTTATTAAAATTGGATTGCTAGATTACAAGATATTTACAAAAAATGTATTTTTTTTACAATTAATTTAGGTTGTACTATATTACCAATCTGATCAGATCAATTTATTAGAAATACTAGATAATATAGCTTGTATTAGATTATTAATTTTAACCCTTTTTTATAAAATTTTTTTACTCTAACTTTTATTTTGTTATTCCTTTTTTTCTTTTTTTACCTCTAGATTTCATATTACAGTTATAGTGAATTTTCAAAATACTCACAAAACATAAACCAGAAGAAGGGATTTTCTAGCATACTATTTACTTTATAAGATAAGTCACCCCTAAGCCTAAGGTAAAAATCATATATAAAATTCTTTGCAGATTCTATTGTAAGGAAATTTTATGTTACATTGTTATAATTTTTTTTCTTTTTAGCTAATTAACCAATAGAATTTAAGAAAAAAATAAGGTAAAAACCAGGAACGATAATTTTATGTAATTGCATAATATCACATAAAACAAATAATTATATGACAAATACATAATTTGAATTTTGCACAACATAATATTATATAATTTGGATTTGTCTTATGATTTAATACATAATCCGCAGTTAAGGGGGAAATTTATGATTATCAAATTTATATCCAATCTATTTTTTTTTTTTTTTCGTACTTTTGCAATGCTGAAAAGAAAAAGAAATTATAAAAATGTATCAGTTTATATTAGATGTAATGAATATGAGGATATTTTTCGTGTTGATGATAAAGTACTTTTTTGTAATTACTGTAATGTTTCTGTAGAATGGAGACAAAAATCTACTGTAGATAATCATTGTAATAGTCAAAAACATATATCGAATATGGAAAGTCATGAAGAGCAAAATAAAGCACAACAACTTACTCTTGTTTCTACTCAAGTGGCAGCTGACTTAAAAAAACAAGTTATTGAAGATCTTATAGAAGCGTTTGCAATAGCAGATATTCCTCTTGAAAAAGTTAATTCTTTATTTCCTTTTTTTAAAAAACATGTTAAAAATGGAGGTTCTATTCCTCAAGCTCTAACCTTAAGACAAATTTACTTACCTAATGTTTTTGAAAGGTATCATTAGTATCTTAAATTGTTTTTTTATTCAAAACCTGTAGTTATAATTATGGATGAAACAACTGATGATTGTGCTAGAAGCATAGTAAACACACTTTTTGCATATCAAAATGAAATAAAATTAGTTTCTGTTAATTTTCTTGAAAAAGTGAATAATATTACAATGGGATAAACCCTTATGACAATACTCACTACATACAATATATCTTTTAATTTACCTCGCTTGTTTCTCTCAGATTCTGCCGCATATATGAAGAAATGTTATAGAGAGGTTCTATTGCCTTTAATGCCTCAATTAATTTATGTACCTTGTTGTGCGCATATTATAAACCTTATTGGGTAGGTAGTTTAATATTTTTTTATTTTTTTTAAAGATCTTTTTATTAAAATAAGATAATAAATAATATTTAATTAAATATATCAAAATAAATAACATTTAGAGATACATGGAGAACATTACCAAGGTTTGCTATTTTAAAAAATCTTTTGGATAAAACTAAAGAAGTCTTTGTTAATTCTCCTGCTCGAAGATGTTGATATTTAACACATTTGAAAATGCATAGAATTTCATTACCATGCAAAATTCCTTTATATAATAAAATGCGTTGGAATTCTTGGTTTTGAATGGTATTTTATGTAAAGAAACATATTGTTTATTGGCCCTCCTTTTTTAAAAAAGAGTATGAAAATGACAAAAAGCATAATACTTTAGAATCTATCAATTCTTGCTTACAAGATGAGCCAAAATTAGGCACAATTACAATTTACCTTAATTTTATTTCTTTTTATGCTAATGAATTTGTTCAAGACTTTGATTTTTTTCAGCAATCAAAAAAGCCAACAGGAATTCATCTAATTTTGGCTCTTTGGAAAATTTAATTATTCAACTTAGATTTAATCCAGAAGATTTTTATGTTATTTTTTGGTTAGCATTTGAAGCAGCTTATAATAAATTTGCTGTACATATTCCCAATCATCCAGCCTGACGCCTCTTTTATTCATGCTAAGTCTTTGATCCTAAATATATTTATACTGGAGACATTTCACAAAAAGATATTTGGCAATATAATGCAATTCATGAATTTGCCAATCCACCAGATGAATTATTAAGAGAATGGGGAATTTATTGTGGACTAGGTAACAATGAAGTTCTTGGCAAAATTGAATTAAATCAATATTGGTTAAATAAGGTAACATAATTACCGATCCTTTCCAAAATTGCTTTAGAATATATTTGGCTTCCAGTATCAAGTTGTAGTGTTGAACGAAGTTTTTCTATGTATAATTCTCTTTTAGATAATGACTGTCAAAATTTATCTTAGGAATCTCTCAAAAAATTAAATATGATGTTAATGGCATTAAAACTTAACTTTTAATAAAAAAAAATAAAAAAAATTTTAAAATTTTAATTAAATAATTTCAAATAATGCTGTATTTTTATAAAATAATATCACATAATATAAAAATTTTTGAAAAAAATCACATCACATATTTTGGTTATAGCACATATATAATTTATATTTGAGCACATCATAAAATCATCGTCCCTGGTAAAAACTATTAATAAAGGGTTAATTTACTATGTTAACCTTTATTATAAGTAAGCGGAGTTCTGATTCCTTTCTAAGAAAAAACACCTAAAAGGAGAACTTAGTCCAGTTCTAATTAACAGCATACATATGATTGTTTTCCAAATAACAGGTAGTTTAGTATTTAATAAATTAGATTATTTTTTTTAATTTGTATTTGTATATATATTGAATTGTACTTTGCTTATCTAATAAAATATCCAAATGTGCTGCAGCCAAAAAAAAATAAAAATTTATTAATAATAACTAATTATTAACTTTTAAAAAATGTAAATATATGATTTATAACTTATTTTAGAGATTTCTGGAATTCTAAAAACTATATAATTTAAGAATTATGATATTTATCTATTAATGTATAATAATAAACATAAAGAGAAATAAAAAAAGAATAAAAGAAATATAGCAAAAAAAAAGGGCAAAAGAAAAATGATTTAAACCTAAAAAATATTTTAATTTGTCTTTTTATAAATAATTATAAAATTAGATACTTTAAACAATCCTATTAATTGTACTTTTTAGGCTAATTTATATTTATGTATTGTATATTATGTAAAATTAATTTTTTAATATTATTCATTATCTGTTAAGTGTTAATTAATACATTTGCTATATTTTTTGGAGCCGCGGTTAAGTCAAAGCGCAGGCTGAAAATTTTGCTGCACAAAGATCAAATTTGGTTAGCTTAGTAATTATAGAATGCCAATAGAAACGTTATATTTGCACGTGATACCACATAGGTTTGTACAACTTTAGCCACATTTTTAAGAGAGAAATTTTTTTCGCTTTTCCAATTACAACTTCACTGTAGATCCGAGAGATTATAGATACTCTACAAACTAGAATCTTATTCAACCGTGATTCACAGTCAAGTTTAACTAATTTTACTCGTATTTCTTAAGGTAACAAAGTGATAAAAAGAGATATCGTACTAGATCCATAGGTACTCTTTTTTTTTTTTTTTTTTTTTTTTTTTTTTTTTTTTTTNTTTTTTTTTTTTGAGAGGAGCTTGTTCTTTAAAACTATCCAACTTATATATTTTTGTTGACACATATAAAAATTCTTCGTAGACCTTTCTTTTCTTACATAGTTTAATAAATATGGAAAGTAGCGAATATAGCAATTATGTAAATTTACCATTTTATGGTGAAATGGATGATAGTATAATGAAGTCAAATGAAATAGATAGTATTTCAATATCTCAATATATAAATGACTCCTCGAGACATGAAGTAGAGTCTCTTGGTGGTTTAGGTGTTAATTCATTTAATAATGGAGATCAGTTTGTGTCTGATACTACAGAAGGATGGGATCATGATCCTGTTCAAAATGTTCAAAATAATAATACACAGTTAGCATTAATAAATCCTGTAGCAGCAAGTTCACAGTACCTAACAGACTCAACATATATGGACCAACCTGGCCAGTCATTGAAAGTTCAGGGACATTCATATGGAACACGGTATGCAAATCAATTACGTCCGACACCCGGTATTGAACCACGTAGAAGAAAAATTCAAAAAGAAAAAAATGAACCGGAAGATAAGGGACCTTATTGTGTTTGTCAAGGTCCATCTTACGGAACAATGATTATTTGTGATTTCTGCAACGAGTGGCAAGTTTTATTTCATAATAATAAAGACTACAAGAAATTTTTTTATGTTGTAAATTTTAATGGCCCAAATTGTAAACGAATTGGAAATTAAAATCTTTGTGTTTATTTATTATGTTGTTATATTACTTGTACCACGTCATTACAATAATAATACAGGTATCATATTAGGTGTGTGAATTTAACAAAGCAACAAGCAAAAGAGATAGAAAAATATATGTGCCCAAACTGTCAAGGAACTAGAACGCTAACAAGTTTAATTCAAGGTGTGTTTCGTGAAGATAATTTCTTCGCTATTTTTACATAACGTTAGGAGAAGGTTTCGTTTAATTTAAGATAGCACAATTACGTAGTTGTATTTGATAGACTGCGCCATTTTCGTTCTTTATTTTGATTGGTCGATGCGCCAATAAGGATCTTTCACTAAGTTCTCCTTCTCTATTTTTTAGAAGATTGCCCCACAGTGGAGGCAACGGGTATCGATCCGAAGGCGTTGATGATCGAGGAACCCAGGCAGATCGTAAGTTATTTAAATAGTATATATAAACGCAGAAGTGACGAGACCAATGATTTATCTTTAATAGAAATGATAAAAAATGTTAATATTGTTTATACGTTTGTCTTTATTAGGAACCGCCAAAGTGCAAGCTTCAAAATTGTACGGAAAAAGCACGTGATAATAATCCTTACTGTAGTAATAAATGTTTCATTCAAGGCCATATACTGGAAATCAAAAAATCACAAGATAAAGAATTAGTACATAATCAGCTTGAATCTTCAGTTGCGGAATCAAAGAAGACGCCACGTCCAATATTACCAAAAATAAAATCCTCGCCATTAGTAAAAAAGCCTGTCTCTACTTTTGCAAAATCTGGTTCTACTCCTAATAAAACACAAACTACAAGTTCCGATGACAATCGTCCAAAAATACGAAATGTATTTCCGGAGAAACTTAAAGGATTATTCACTAATAAATATATTGAACTCATTCAAGAACCTGATTTTCCTGAAAAAGATAAAATACCTCATGAACTCGGACTTCAACTTGCCAATGAAATTGAAGAAGCAATTTTTCATAAATTTGCTAAAGGTATTATCGGACAGGACTACAAAACTAAAGTTCGAAGCTTGATTACAAGCTTAAATGATCCTAAAAATGAAAAAAATTTGTTGCGTAGAATACTTTTAGGTGATATTCTCCCTGAAACTTTAGTTATGATGTCTTCCGAAGAATTGGCAAATCCTGAACAAAAAGCATTAATGGCTAAAGTACGTAGGGAAAGTCTACAACGATCAATTTTAAAACGTGAGGATACCGGTCCAAGAATTAAGACAACCCATAAAGGAGAATTAATTATAATTGAAAATGTTCGAGATTCTCCTCGGGATTCTCCAAAAGATACTAGCACTTATTCGGAAGAAGGTAATTCTCCTACATATGCAAGTTTTACTTCTCCCGTTACTGAGAGGCCTAAGCTTAAACTTGAAGACTTAGCTCTGAAAAATTGGACAAATTCGGACGATAATAATATAATAACAACAAAAGATTCAGAAAGCAATCCATTATCTGATAACATATCAACCAGTGTGGATATACCAAAAGGACCTGCTGATAAAAATGATGATAATAGTGGAACTATGCAAATTTCTGTTAATGTACATCCTGAATTAGTTTTTGACGATAAAGACATGGTATATAGCCCTCTAGCATCACAGGGTGCATCGCCAGTTGATTCGCCATCAATGCATTCGCCTCCAAATTTGTCATATCAATATTCGCCCGGAAGTCCTTTAGATATGCAACCTGGATTTTCTCCGGAGTCTCCTCCAAAGTCTCCTCTAAAATCTCCTTCAAATGAAATTATAAATACTGCACCTGAAATTGTATGGAGGGGTAAATTGGTATTTGATAAGAAAATTGGAGATTTCTCAGGACATGCGGACCTTCTTGCTGCAAAAAAACGTGACAAGAAACGGAATTGGGATGAATATCTCTCGTCATCAATAATAGTTAATGGTCACGTTTCCAGAATTGAGGATGTTGATAATTATTTAGTTGACTGTTGGTGTTCACCTAGTAAAGATATAGCTATTATTAGATTTGATATTGATGAAAATTCTCCTAATAATAAAGAGTTTGAAACTATATTTAATTCTTTACATTACGCACCAAAAACATCAGGAGAAACGAAGCGTCGGTATGGGCGCGTTGCACCTGCATATAATACTGTAAGAGATATGTATATAATCTCATTAGAACCTGAAGATAAACTTCCAGACGTCGTGACTTTCTTAGATTTAAATGGAATTTTATCTCTTGAAAAGCGCCCAACAAGGCTACTATTAGGTGCTATAATAATTGTTGAAGCAGAATCAAATAAAACAAAACGTATTCATGATATCAACGAGATAAATAATAGGGCAACTAAGAAAGAAAAAAGTGATTCTGAATCTACTGCTAATTTGGCCAAAGTGATAGCTCTACCAAATATTGGATCTAATATTGCTAGCAATGAATCAATTCAACTCAATGCACCACTGCCAACAAGTTCTATTAGTTTACCTTCAACAACAATTTCGGCATTTTTACAGTCATCATTAGCTAAAAATAATCAAAATCCTCCAAGTTTGAATAGTAATGTCTCGCAAGGTATTCAGCAAGCTCCACATGCACAACCATCACAATTAATTGTCTCAACAAATGGGCTTTATGGACTACCTTCGTATCCTCCTCCTAACCCACCAATGATACATCCTCCTCAATTGACCTCTCAACCGTCGCAATTGTATTGGAACTCTCAACAATCGCAGCAACAACAATCGCAATTACCAATTCAAACTCCTCCAAATTATCCTATAGTCCAACCACCACACCAACAATGGATACCTCCAATGCAGCAGCCACAGCAGCACCCACAGCAACAAGTATTTCCTCCTCAACAAGGACCGCCTCTTGTTCAATCACAATTCATGCCACCGCCTTCACATGCTCAGCAACAAAATATGCCGGTACAGTATGGGCATCACGTAATATCTGATTCACCAAGTAGTGTTACACAACAGCAACCCATAAGACAACAAATGTCAATAGGAACGTCTTCTCAATTTGAACATTATAACGCGTATCCACCAAGTTACAATCACTCACAATATGAAGCATCTCGACCACAACAGCGAGAAAAAGAACACAGACCACATTGGAATCGACCAACCTCGGATCGAGATCGAAATCGTCATAATCGGACAAGAAGATTTATGAGAGAGGACAGACGTAATGACTCGGAAGATTATAAACCTCCACCAAGAGATCCAAGGCGACCTTCGCCACCTTCATCCGATTATCGGGATTTTAAAAGAAGTGGAAGAGGGGGAAGATATCGTTAAATGGTAAAAGATATTTTTTTTTTGAGTTTATATAAATTTTTCATGAACTAACAAATAATCTTGTTCCTCCATCAATGTAATTCAAAATTACAAAATTAGAACAATTTGTACCATAAAATTTTTCTCAATGTTCAAATTCTATATTAATAGCTATTATAAAACATTCGAAGTTGTATATAAATAAAAGACGTGTAAAATTACGATAATTAATAAGTTACATAACGTGTCATGTATAATTTTATAGTGTATAACTTCAAATTTTTCATTACAAAAAATAATTATAATCGTTAAAAAAAAAAACTTGATTATATAAAACGCGTCTCAGAAAATCAACTAACCTCTAATAGAAATTCGTGCTCAAAACCTCAACTATAGACATCGTATGATAAAAAAAAAATTTTACTAATATGGAAATGATCAGCGAACGTACAATCACGTGTGAATACGAAAGGTCATCGCACTTTCATTTAAGTTTTTGTACTCATTTACTGTCTTACACTTTTATGAAATAAATATATCTTATAAAAGCTCTGTTTTAGTAACATCTAAGATAATATTTTCAAAATGGTTTAATATTAGCTAAGTTATTTATTTTTTGTAATAACCTGTTTATTTTTTTTAAAAAAATTATTTTAAAATAAAGGCGATTCTAATGTATCAAATAAAATTATTATTAAAAAGAAATTTAAAAGGTCACATAAAGTCTTAACACCTTCAGACTTTTGAATATCCAATTTGCAAACAACATATTTTTTATTTTATTTCGATCATCGATCACAAAACGATCAAGATTGTGAAACTAAAGTCAGAAGAGGCAGAAATAGCTACCTGCTAGAACTGCTAGGCTAGTTAAGCATTAATAATTAAGCTTAAGCTGTCCGAACTTAAATTAAAAGACACTGTTTTATCTGAGAGTCCCAATATTATTGAGCTTAGATAGTTCCATTGAGAGTTGTTTCTAATGCTTGACTGGAGAATACAAAACTTAATTTTCCAATTAACTAATTCGAACATTATAAGAAGAAGAAATAAATTGGTCATACTGGTGATGACGAATCCCAGCTAACCAATGTACTAAGTGACACTGATGAATTTGAGGAAAACACGCGGCTCAATTAGCAAGATTAGGAATTTTTTTGAAAGAGAATTCGAGTTTGATGGTAGTCAGAGAAAGTACGTGGGATTTACAGTATGGTACGAGGAAAATCAAACCAGAAGTTGAACTTCAAATTTAAATTCTTATTGGACTGTATTAAAAAATAGAAATAAAATATATATATTATATACTTTTTTTTTAAAAAAAAAACAAACAGTAGCGCGTTTTATTAATTATCTAAAATCAGAGATTTCTATAATTAAAGTAGAAACACAGAGTAAAGAAAAACTAAATTTTTCAATCCCCTATAACTGAGTATTCGGAACTAATATACATATATACAAAAAAAAAATAAATTACAATTACTTAGAAAACAAATGAGGGAAAAGCAAGATCGCTAAAAAAACCCTAAATGAATTCTATCAAAATTCTAACTAAAGACAGATTAATCCCCTCCGTACTATACCCCAGTAAACCAAGGTAAAACCTTCCTTCGACGAAATCTGCGGTCTCTAGTTAGTTTTCTCGCATATATATTAAATACTTGAATGATTCATTTTTATTTATTTAATATCGCCCAGTATTAAGACTCGTTTAAACCAGCTTTAATTACATTATATCAACTGAAACTTAGTTGATTGTTGTCATATTTCTCAAGTGTTATTGTTAAGAGTGAATAAGAGCTCGACTTAAATATTTTCATTATTACCATCATTTAAAAATTTACCTAGTATTATAATCATCACGATATCAACTCTCTAGTTGTAACTTGTAAAACGTTTAATTATATTTCCTACTGTATTTATTAAATACAAAAATAAAATGCGAAATTCATTACAAATAATATTATCAAAATTGTTAATCACCTCGAGTGCCATATATTTATGATCTTAGTAATTCCCCCGAAATACTTTCTCCAAATACTTCAGTATTTTTTTGGGTATAATCATCATCAACATAGAAATAATAGCAATTGCTTCATTCCGCTTACACAATCCTTTTTATCTTTTTTGCACTAGTCTTCATTTTTAAAGCTACTAAATTTAGTCCTCACAATAATATGTTCATGAATATCGTTGTCAAAATAGCTCTATTCTTGTGTCATGAATTTTCCGTCAATAATCTCTTATACCTTCCGACGATTTTATTATATTTAGTTTAGTTACCTCAGTATCAACCACATCTTAATCTTTCCAACGCTTTCCTCGAAATAATGAGAACCATCTAATACTTCAACTATGTAGATTTACCACTATTGGTGCGACCAACTATTATTAATTCCTAATTTTTCTTTCTTCCCTTTAGATTAATTGGTTTATTAGTGAAAATCTTTGTTTGTAAAAGCCGAAGTCATATCTAATTTAAAATAGTAAATAATTAAATAATTAATTATATTCATTAATATTAAAATAAATTTACTAACTTGTGAGGATCTTCTCGATATAATTAACCCTTCAAAAATAGAATCATTAAGAGAGAGAAACGTATTTTCTTCTTTTGAAATGAATTTTCCGTCAACCGCAAATAAATTTGGCTTATTCCTTCCGCCATCACATAAATTATTTCTGCTATTTTTTCTCTTTTTAAATTAACTTATTATTTCTCATTCCAATGATATCAACTACAAGACATTTCGTTCCCTTCCATTCAAAAATTTTTTATCCGGAAATTGTTATCTTTATCAACTGAGTACTGGCTTTCTTCAAAATCAACATTATTCATTGTACAATGTGGGTTTACCACTACAAGCATAGCCGATTATTAACAAATTCCTGGTTTCTTTTCTCATCTAATTGATTATCGAGTTTTGGAGGTTACGATGAAGTAAATAAAAAATATATATAACCGTTTAAAATCAACCTCTATACTTGAAGTTACTAATTCATCTCGATAGAGTCGTATATAATTAAGATTGTTTACTATCAATAATATTGTGATGCTTGAAGAGGTTGTGGCTGCATAACTATCGATGAATAGGAAATTCATTAGTTTTTATTTAATTAAAATTTGTTTTACTTCTTCGATATCGGGTCTTGAATTTGGACCGTCGTTCCAGCACCTTTGGTAAAGTTGTTGATACTCTAAAAGTGTACATTCAATTTGTTTCTCTCTAAGACCCATAAAACTAATATGTAAACCTAATATACATGTAACAAATAGATCTCGCGGATAATCAGGGCCCGCTTAAAATTTCCCATAATAAGAGAAAGATATCGGACTTTCTATTTTTTTTTGTAATTGATATTCCTGAAATGTTGTGGTTCAATATTTTTAGCTGTTGAATTTGTTGAACTAGATATAGCTTCTTAATTGTTTCAGAAGTGGAATATATTTGATTAAGGAGTTAGATGATCCAAGATGTAAACTAATAAACATGCTATAAAACAAGATAAATAACATTGAATCAATTAGTGGAATGATTTAAATTATTATACCAAATTTCTATGAATAATTCATTTGAAATGTAAGCATCTTAATTCACATAATGTAATATCCAAATATCCAAGGCCATCTGGCATTGAAGTATTAAAATTATTTTAGATATTTTCTTAAATTTCCTTGATTAGCATGTTTTAATATTGTATCTGATAAAGGCTCTATAATAAAATGAAATTAGCAAATTAAAGATTTAATCTCAATTGATTGAAACTTGAAAACAATAATTTGACAGCGACGATCTACTAAAAAATTTTTCCAAATAATGTGATTATTGTTACACAATTTTTTACCGCGTAATGTATTGAAACTTTGTAGATTCTTCGAACTGTCTTCTATTAATGTATGTTCTAGGTCCAATTACCCGAAGAGTTTTATTAGAGTGCATTTTCATGGTACTTGTAATTTTATTTCCAAAGTAAATGCTCTTGATTTATTATGGTTAGGAAATTGGCAACGTTGGTTGTGGTGTGGTAAATCTGCTTTGTGCAGTGATAACTGACACTCAAAATTTCGGGGAAAATGAGTAAACAGTTAACGAAGGTCGTATTCAGAAAGGATATTTTAATTTTAGAGGTACCAGATATTGTGTGATTGATACTGTTAGAATTGGGAACAATAGCAACAGAAATTAATTTGACCGATGGAAGATTCGCAGAAGAAAAAAGTATATACAATTTTTTTTTGAAAGATACCATTTTAAACGATGATCTTGTTACTATTGTAAGGATTAATTTTCAATTTTCCTAATTTTAGAGTGTGATGTAGATAAAAGAATAATGAGCGAGGAAAACGAAATGACGATGTCATCCATAGATAATCCCCCGACAAATATTATTGATGATGATAATGCTAATGATATGAACATTAGAACAAGAAAAAGATCAAGAGAAATATTATTAGATCATGTATGTATTGTGTGTAAAAAATTAGATGAAGTTATATTTGACTTTTTGTTATTTTTTTTTATTAAAAAATCAAAACTTGGGATACTGAAACAAATATATTTTCCTATCTGAATTGCTGGTAAAATTTTCGCGATTTAACGACTGTTAATCTATATTTTTTTATTTGAAGTATTTTTCTTGCCAAGTAGTTTAATAGCGTAGTTTTTAACCTTGTTCATTGTTTTCTTGTTTTTCAATTACCTCTTTATAATCAACAAATATAACAAATATGAATAATTAGCAATTGATTCGTTTCTTACGCAATATTTTTTTCTTTTTTCTTTTTTTTTATCATTTTCGCGCTCGATTTTATTTATTAAAGTATTTATTTCTCACAAGTAACATATTTAAAATACCGAGTTTATAACGGTTTATAATGACTTAATGACTTAACATTCTTATTTCTATTAACTGCAAATAAACCTGGATTATTCCTACATCTTAATCTCAATTTCACTACGGACATTACACATGCACATTAACATAGGTCAAACCCATTATTTACCGGATAAAGTTTTGTTAAATAAACAACTCCAAAAGGAAAATTTCTACACGAAAAATGTTTTTACATAATTTTTTTTAAATATAAATTTATTTTAAATATGTAATATAATCCAAAATAACTTTCTATTGATTCGGTAAACTGTGTGTCATATAAAATCTTAATTCTAAAGCTGTGCTATTAACGTTCCTTCAGATAATAATAATAAATCAATACATTTCATTAAATTTTATTCTGTTTATGTCTCATAATAAGAAGCCCAGAAACCTTAAAATCACTGATTAAGTGTTAAGGATTGCCAAAAATATCACATTTAAACCTTTTACTTCACCTGATACAAAGAACCTGCATGACTTGGACGACAATAATAATAAATGTGTATCACGAAGAATGACAAATTTTTTCATGTTTATACGAATAGGATATAAGCCGGGAGTTCCAGTTGTATTATTTGTGCACTGCGTTTCTCGCCGAACTCGAAAAATGTTAAGTTTCGTCTAAAAACCCGAGAAACCAAATAAACTCGTAATCTTTTTGCACGTAACACGAATTAAACACAGTTATTGGATAGTGATGTTAAAATATTTAAAATATTAACTATACACACGTTCATATGTAATACGATAAAGAGCAAATTAATCATATTAGAAACAGGTCAAGGTTCACTGGGATTTATCTTTGCATTTTTCTATAAAATTCCGAAATTCATTCATTCCTTTGAAAGTTTGCAATTCTAATACGATCAAAGTTCTTAGTATGATAGTATCACAAAATTAGCTTCTTAAGATATCTGTTTAGTAATTTGCAGTCGAAATTACACCGCAAAGCGTGTACATTCACGAATCGCATTTCTTCAACACATAAATATGTATATTTTATTCTATCTTTCTTAGAAAAATAATATATACTAAAATAAATATCTTACGATTTACTCTGATCCCACGTTTTTAAATTTGAAGTAATCTACCTGAACATGTTTTGTCTAAATAGCCTAGTATTAGTTTTCCTGATCTTTCTCTTGTTTTTTATTATTGTTTACTGTATCATCATCTCCTTCATCGGTAATTTGAAGATTCGGCGGAAGATTATGATTAACTATTTCAGCAATAATTTTATTCTCATTACGCGATTGTTTCTCGTCCGCTTCACGCTCATTTTTATTCTTAAGTTACTGAAATTCTCAGTTCTTACAATAGTAACCGATTTCAAAATGCGAAAATAAAACTTTAAAAGCAAGTTAAATATTTTGCTTCTTCCATTGTGAATCTTCCATCAATCAATAATTTCTTAGTAGATAGTTTAGTATCCCAATCCTAATGCTATCAACCACATTATAACTCTTCCCATTCAATTCAAATCCTTTTTCTCTGGAAATTTGTGATGCTAATTGGGCACCCATTTCCTTAAAGTCTTCGGATTCAGTTAGTACATTGGACAACGTGGATTTACCACCACCAGTACGACCAACTATTGTAAATTCTCCTGAATATTTTCAAGTTATTTTTTGACTTAGTACCATTTTGCTCATATTCTTTCGCAGTTGTTTATATTAATTTACTATTAGAACACTCAAAGAAATTCCAAACTGAAACATTTGCTTATATCTAAGTAAATAAGTTTGTTGTTATTGGAGCAAGTGTTTGCAGTGTGCCAATCATTTTTCATAAGTGTGCAGTGCGCAGTGGCAGTGTTTATTTTTCACTGTGCGGCATGTTCGCAGCGCACATGATCAGAATTTTGCGCACACCTTTTTTAGAAAGGATGTGCGGCATGCGCCGCACAAAGAATTTTGAAATATCCTTATGTGATTGGGCGCATATGTATTACAGTACCTATTATAGTAGTATAGCCATACCACTTTGCCGCACAACAAATTGTGCGCCATCCGCACAGTAACTTTTTATCGAAAAATTAACACTGCGCAGTGGCAAACGTTTTATTTTGATTATTAACTGATTCACTAATAATGTACCTAAGCACAAATTTTCTTCAAATATTTGAGCAAAAAAAAAACCACATAATATGCTTAGAGAGAATCTATTAATAATTGGCAACGCTAACTCCGGTAAATCCGTAATATGTGAGACTGAGTACTTCGAATAAAATGAACGCACAGTTAGGAACTCAAAGATTTCCAAGAATATGGAATGGTACAATATATCATTTGGTTGATATTAAAGTTAAGTTAACTGAAGGAGAAATTTTATATAAGATAGGACTAGTAATCATTCAATGCCGGAAGGGATAAGCCAAATTTTATTTGTAGTTGACCAGGCAGAAGAAATAGAAATACTTAGTAAAATTGAAGAAATTTTAAAAATCAAAATTGGCAAACATACTACTGTTGTGAGAACTAAATTTAAAGACTTTAAAAGTAAAGATGAGTGCAAAAAAAGACAAAAAAGATTTGCATAGCTTAAACAAAAAATATTTAACAAATCTCCTATCTCTTTTTTAACTCTTCCCGCTTGCACATCGTTCACATAGATAATCCCCCGACACGCATTTATGTTGATGATAGTGATGATGAAGACACAGTAAAAGCAATAGTAGAAGAAGAAAAAAGTCAAGAACTATACTCTTAAAACATTTGAAGAAAATATGTTCAAAAAAATACAAATTAAATATGTGGGTAGGTTGTATGAATATGACAAGTCAACAGATTTAGATAATTTAGAGGAACTTGCTAAAAGAGTGAAATCCCATTTATTAAATATCAAAAATTCGAGATATAAAATAAATCTTCTTTGTTCAACAAGAAATGTGCGGTGAGAGGAGTGATTTCGGTATGTTTGTTACAAGGCGCTATTTTGTTAAGTAAAATTGGATTTTCAGAAAATAGTAAAAATTTTTTTTAAAAAAAAGTAAAACAGAACGTAATAATTAAAAATTATTTATAATCATTCGACTTAACTCGTGCCTTTTTCAAATTTCTCATCTAGTATGTTTAAAATAATTTTTTATGTTATCTTGATTTAAAAGTATTATAATTATATCAACAACAAAAATAAAATTAAGGGAGTAGCAATATATGATGTATAAAATTACAAAACAACTATTTATTGAAAAAAAGTCTCAAAAAAAATACATTAATGGGTTCTTGAATCTAGGCTCTGGTAAGAAATTTTTGCAAAAAATTAGATCAGAATGTTATGAATGATATCTAAGAATCAAGTAAATAAATTTAATTACCTGGAAACTTTTGAATAATTCCAAAGATCAGAGTATTTGCTTTAGGTTCCCCAACTTCATTATAAATTCTTATTGCATTCTCTGTAGTATATTAAATGGTAAACATTTTTACCTTTTTTTTGGATACCACTATTACCAAGATCCAATAATTTAAAAGATTTATTTTAAGTTTGACCGATATAAAATTCACTTGATTCTCTGATATTACTTGATTTTCAAATATGCTTTTCCAAGATAGCAAAATTTAAGTAGATATATTGGAAATTTCGGTTTTTGATTGTATATTTACACACTGTACCTGATAAATGAAGAAACAAATATTATTATCCAACAATATAAGCGTATTGATTCAATTATCCTTTCACTCGATGATAATTACGCAGCATTTGAATAGGGTTTAGATTTCCGAAAAACATGTTATTACAACATCTTGCATAAAAAAGTTGTGATTCGGAGAAAGAGATCCCCTTTGATGAATGATGTACAAACAGTTTGGGGAAACAATAAGAATGATTGCAGATTTTATTAACCGCAGTATACTGCGGACAATGACGCTTTCATCGGAATTTCGGCATACTTTGTTATTTCCGGTTGCGTAATAATAAAAAATAAAGACATATAAACCATATAAACTGCTTATAAATGTTATACGATTTTTTCTCTAAAATGTCATTTTCGTGCTAATTAAAATAATCACAATTATTCCCTTGAGAAAAATTATATATTAACTAAATCGACAATATGAACAAATCACAAACAACTCCTTTGAACTCCCAAACTTATATGAGTCAAGCTCAAGGAAATCAAATGAATAATCATGAAAATACTAAAAGTTTTAACGACATTTTTAGTAATAAGCCCAATGATATGGATGACTTAAAGTCGATTTCTGTTAAACGACCATCTTTTCCTCCTTCTATCGATACTAAATCTTTAGTATCCAATCTCTTAAAACACAAAAATAAGAATCCAAAAATGCCAAATGAATTTTTTATTTATCGAGCTGCTTTAGTTAAAGAACTCAAGGCGAATAATTATAAGATTAAAATGACAAAACTTTCAACCTTGGCAGCAGATTCTTGGAGCCAAGAGCCACCTATCATTAAATCAGCCTATCGAAAATTAGCACGTGAGACCGAGAGACAATATTTAAACGCACGTTCTTCATTAATGTTAAATTCTACAACAAAGACGTTAAATACGACAAAAGATTCAGGACGAAAAAAGAAAATTTTAAATAATCAATTACATACTCTTAATTCCTCAGTAAATTCGACCTCAAATAATACTTCGAACGAACAATCGGACAGTTCCGCTATAGCCACCACTTTAACTAATATTGGTGATATAGTCAACGTCGCATATCCAACTTTGACAGGAAACGATTTCACGCTATTAGAAGATAATTCAATTTTTGGTATGAGACCAAGATACAATCAAAATACGCTATATTTAATCCCTCCACAAGATAAAAATTTTTCTTATATAGAAGATTTATCTATTTCGACATATTCATCGGAAAATTCTTCACCGGTTTCTGATTATTCTCATTATTGGTCTAATCCGTCTTCTCCTTCAACTTCGACTTTACCTATAAGTTCGACAAACACAAACGAATTAAAAGTTAATAATAATTTCTTCGCTCCCTTGTCTACTTCAATCTATGAATTGGGAGAATATTATAACACTTTAACGATTAACGATATAAATTATCCGCAATTTTATGAACAATAAATACGTATATAATTAAGTAGGTAAAATTATTAGGCATAAAATAAGGAAATATGATTAAATTGTAAAATAATTTCGTAATAATAATGTTTTATTCAAAATAATGTATAATAAAAATGATGCAAAGATTTTTCGTGACGAATTATATGACCTGTGAATTTATTGAATTAATACTTATCAGATATATTTGTCTGAATTGAATTTTTAATTCCGTAAAATTACATTCGGATTAATTTAAAAATAGAATACATATACATATATATGTAAATAATAATACTTGCAGATTTAAATTAACTTTGATTATATTTAGTAAAACTAATCTGAAACATGTATCAAAATTATTCTATAAATACAGAAAATAAATATAATCAGGGTTTGGATGATTGATATGGTGTTTTCATAGTTGTCATTGTTCGTAAATTTTATTTCGAGGAATTCAATTTATATATTAAATATACAATGTGTATTTATTGTATTATAAACCGCAATTACCTTTATCAAATACACTATACGCTAACCAAAGATTAACAACAATCGAAATTCTAAATTATCCAATTATAACGTAAATGTGTACTATGTCTTATTTTGTTAAAACTTAACTCAAAATTTAACATTCTATAAATAAAAAAATTCCTTAAAAGACTACATTTAAATTAATTTTGGCCACGCCACATATAAAAAAAACTTTGAAAGGGTCAAAATTTTTCTATTTTAAGTACATAAGAGAGTACAGGGAGGGGTAACATACCCCAACAAATAGATCATCTGAGCAACGTTCCGGCCACAAGAAGTTTCTAAGAACCCCTTGAAATTGATTAAATTATTTTGAGAAGAGTTGAAATGAGAATGTAAAAAGGAAAAATATATATTCATTCAGTCCAAACATATATTCATCCATGCGGTAACAAATATTTATAGTATTTAGATTCTTCTTTATCGAAACAATTGATATAAATATATTAAAGGCGTAATGTACATTATGACCAATTTTGTGATTACAGCCCAAGCCGTATTAAGTAAACGAATTCACGCCCCGGGAAATATTGCGGCAATCAATTTGTAAAGTTAGACTTGTATTACATTTGCGAAATAATATTTTTAGTATTAATAGCGTGTAGTTTCAAATTTTTTTTTTTTTTTAAAAAATAAAGAATTTTCTTTAATCAAAATTATTACGATCTTAAAAAAATAAAATAATTATTTAAAAGTGCGAATATGATTTAATTTATTTATTATTTTTTCACCCTCCGATAATTTAAATAATTTATGATCGGAAGTTAACCAAATCTGGTCATTTTTAATATTTAAATATTGCTGATATAAGTATAAAGTACAAGTATTTTCAGTAACTCTACACTTTTGGTCACGCCGACGTCATGTATTTTTTTCCTTGGGTTCAATTTATTCAAAAATTTTTATTACTAGTTATAATATTTAGCAATAACTATATAAGCAATGCATTAGGGCAAACAGTTACCATAGCACGTTATATTCAAACCACAGATAATTTATCAACTTTAAGTCAAATATTGAGTTATCCAGGATTAGCTGATTTATTTACGTTACTTAATTCAACGGTTGCTGTAACTTTATTTGCACCAACAAATGAAGCATTTTTATCATCAGGAATTGACCTCACGAATGCGAATGGTGCTTTTGTTTCAAATTTAATAAGATATCACGCAGTTCCCGGTAAGTAACTATGAATAGATATTGAGTCTATAAAATTAATTAATTAATTAATTTATTTATTTATTTATTTATTTTAGATCGAGAGATACTATCCAAGGATTTAATGCCAAGTTTAGTCGTAAATACATTATTAAATGATTCGTCGTTAGTACATCTACCAAATGGGGGCCAAGTTCTCTATTTAATGAAATCTATACAAGGAGATATTACGATTAATAATGGTAATAGTAATGGTAATAGTAATTTACCAGTAAAAATTATTCAAATGGATATTGTATGTACCAACGGTGTTATACATATAATTGACTCAGGTAATCTTCCATATCCCTTTTGTGTTTTACTCTTTTACCTTTTTGTAGTTTAAACTAATTTAAAACTCATTCGATCAATAGTTATATTACCTCCTTTGTCATTGTTTGATACAGCAAATAATTTGGGTTTAACTCAATTTATAAATATATCCACGAATGCAAATTTGTTATCAAATTTTAATACAACGATAGGAATGACTATATTCGTACCAACAAATGATGCGTTTAATAGACCAAATATCCTATCTATAGGATCAACTGAAAAGATTTCTTTATTAAAACTTCATGCAATAATTGGTACGGTGATTTATGAGATTAAAGATGGTATGGATATAGAATCAAGTGATACTGGGAAAAAATTACATTTTACGGTTAAAAATGATACTATTTATGTTAATAATGGAAAAGTGGAAAAATCTGATATATTATTACAAAATGGTGTAATGTATGTTATTGATGATGTTTTATTACCATTAGATGGATCAGGTGGTAATGTGGTTTCGAATAATTCAACTAACGGTTTTGATAATGGTTATAACGTTCAAGGTACTAGTGATAAGAAATTAATCGTTGGTACTGTTTTAGGTGGTATTTGTGGTGGAATTGTTATTTCTTTATTTTCCTGTATGTTATATAAATGGTATAGAGCACAAAAAAATAGTAAATCTGTTACTACTTCTCCAACAAGTATTAATATTAACAATAAAAGATAACATATTTATTATATCATATAGTTTTGATTATTATCATTGTAATTCTATCAATATTCGAATTTATTAGTCAGGCTATTGGGAAAATGTCGATTCTAGTGAGATTAATAATAAATCCTAATAATCTATTTTATAGAATGATCTTCGACCGATATTTTACTCTTAAGTCACATAAAACATAAAGGCATACATGATCAACGAAGATCCTTTTTTTTTGGAAACCTACCATTTTACAAAATCTAAGGCGACTATTATACTTCGATATTCACAAGAAACGAAGGTGCTAACGCCTTATTATGTCTTTTTCGACGATGATACTTAATGAATACCCAAAATAATAGCTGAATACATTTGCTTCGGTAACACCATACTATAGTTCTATGGCTTAATGTGGAGTGGTTTCTGGTTTTGTTTTTCCAGGTGCCTTTATATGCATCCTTTGGTGATTTGTCATTTGCGTTGTTTCATGTACTTAACTGTTGTTTCGTTCTCTTTTTTTATTAAAATATCTGGAAGTTTGACCACAAGCGCTTAGTCTCGTTGTTTTGGGTAAGATATCAAGTTATAAACTTCAATATATATTTAAAATCATTTATATTAACGCACTTGCTATCAGCTGAGATGTTCTGTAAGCCCTGTAGTCATGAACAATATATATATATATAATCGTATGAAAGAAAGCAAAGAACAGAAGCGATGTCTTGAAATAGATAAGAAGGGCCAAGTCTTAATTTTGGCCGAAGAGTAAGAAAGATTGTGAGATGGAGAGTCTTGATTGATTGAGAATCTTTATATCACTTAAATCATAACAGAATGAGTAGTCTTATTGTAATTAAAGAAATAATGAAATCTTCTTAATCTTCACAATTATCACTATTACTTATTATTAATGGATAATGAAGTGAATATTGAATCTAATCAACTTCTGGCTTGTTAGATTTAAGACCCACATGATCCAATACTTTCATACATAAAATATTTATGAGACGTAAATTTTGTTTTAATATTACACATATATACTATTAATTTATTAAATAAAAAACAACACAACATTCTTGCAATAAATCTAAAATTATAAAAGTTACTTGTAGCCCATCACGAGTTAGTCTGGTACTCCGGTTACTCAAGGGTTTAAAATACAGTACTAACTATGATTTGCACTAGTCACACAAATTTCTACTTGTAATAAAAGTAATAGTAATACACATTTTGAGCTACAATAAAAAAATTTCTTACCTATGCTTTAGAAAAAATATGTCGAGAGAGAATTTGCTAATAATAGGCGCCACTAATTCCGGTAAATCCGCATTAGCTAATGTAATATGTGAGAATGAACATTTCGAAGAAAATGAACGCACAGTTAGGAACTCAAAAGATTTCCAAGAATATGATATCAATTGGAAGGGTAAAATATATCATGTGGTTGATATTAAAATTAAGTTAGTTGAAAGAGAGATTTTAAATAAAATAGGACAAGTAATCTGTTCAATGCCGGAAGGGATAAGCCAAATTTTATTTGTAGTTGACCAAAGACTAACGGCAGAAGAAATAGAAAAACTTAGTGGAATTGAAGAAGAAATTTTAAAAATCAAAATTTACAAAAATATTACTATTGTGAGAACTAAATTTAAAGACTTTAAAAGTAAAGAAGAGTGTAAAAAAGACGAGGAAGATTTGCGTAGTTTAAACAAAAAAATCTTTAAAAAATTATTTAACAAACCCCGCATGTACATCGTCCACGTAGACAATCCACCAACACATATTTATGTTGGTGATAGTGATGATGATGGTACAATAAGAAACAATAGTAGAAGAAGAGAAAAGTCAAGAACTATACTCCTAGAACATTTGAATAAAGTATGTTCAAAAAAATACAAATTAAGTATGTGGGATAAGTTGTATGAGTCTGATAAGTCAAAAAATAATTTAGAGGAACGAGTGAAATCACATTTAAAATCATATGATCCACTAGTTGCTAAGATTATAAGGAAACTAGATAGTGATATTTAAATTCCTCTAGCTTCAATAGATGAAAAGTCATATTGAAGTCAGAACTAATAACAGACAATAACTAAATAATAAAAAATTCAGAAATTCTATTTATAAAATATGTCATTCTATACGCATGGCAAAAAATTTTATTCCCATATCACCGCATTATTTTATTGTTTAATTCATATATTTAGTTTTACACTTATGAAATCTAAAATCCCCGTTTAATATATATACTTTAGAAAAAAAAAAAATAAATAAATAAAAAAAAATAAAAATAAAAAAAAATAAAATAAAATTTACACGAGAAGATGGACTTAATTATAAATCACTTAAAATCATGATGTCAAATTTTTATTCTAATAAACAATTACAGTATAGAAAAAAGCATTTTTTGATAAAGTACGTAAATCAAGAATACAAAATTAGATGTAGTTGGTTGTCTTCAAGAATTGTAATATAACTGGTCGTAAATTATCCCACATTTTTAATTTATGACATACTTTTTCTAAACGTTCTAATAATATTTTTTTTGACCTTTCTCTTCTTTTTTTATTAATTTCAATTGTTTCTTCATCGTCTTCATCATAAACGGCAATTTTTGTCGGGGGATTATCTACATAAACTATATTTTCACATAATTTGCAAATTTTTTCGCTCTTCTTACACAAATCTTCTCTATCTTTTTTACAGGCACTTTCATTTTTAAAATTACTAAATTTAGTTCTCACAATAGTGATATAATCAGCAATATCACTTTCTAAAATGAAATTTCCAAGTATTCCTTCTGTTGTGAATTTCCCATCAATTACGAATAAAATTTGGCTTATCCCTTCCGGTATCAAATGGATTATTTCCTCTATTTTTTCACAAGTGATTTCCTTTCCAATTCCGTTAGTGTCAACCACATTATATTTAGTTCCTTTCCATATAAATTCCTTTTTCTTAAAAATTTGACTAGAATATTCCTCGAAATCATCAGTACCACTTAACACATTGGCCAACGTAGATTTACCACTACCAGTATAACCAACTATTAATAAATTATTGATTTTTTCTTTCCCCATATTTTTATAATATTTAAGTTTATTCTTAATTAATTTGTTGTTCGAATATTCGACCTCCAATTTGTAATTTAGTTAAAATCAAACTTAATTTTTCAAACCGAACTGATTATACTTTTTTAAAATCTATCGGTAATAACAACATAAACATTTAAAATAAAAGTATTTTTTATCATACTATTTCGAATTTTTCTTTGGCATGATATTGTTTTTGAGTTTTTCACTGAAAATGGATTATAAATGGTCTGATATCATAATCTGCGGTATATAGGTATATATATGGCGTTAACCACATATCCATTATAGATGTTTAAAGGATTTCCAGATTTGGAATTATATCATGCGTAAAATAACGTATAACGCCAGATTAGATTAACAAATCAAATGTCCGTACAGGTCAAGGTAACTTTGTGTATTCAGCTAAAAAAAAAAAAATCCTGTCATTGTTAAGTATTAGTTATTTACTAATAAATGGGTTATCATCCGACCCATTTATATACTACTAGATCAGCAAATAACTAATACTTATGCACACATTCCGTGCTAATTAAAAAAAATTGTTATCTCTAATACGTTAATGTCTGGAGTAAATCATTCATTTCAATCAAATTATTTTTACATTATTAAAGGAAATATTTTCTTAATGTTCAATGAGTGTTACTACTATGATATTTAATTTATCAATCAAATTCGTTACGATAAATAATAATTAATTAAAAGCCGACTGGATGCATATATAATTTGACGAGTACTAATCTTTTATTTACCTTTTATATTTATATTGAGTTAGGATCACGAAAATTATTAAATTGCATCTTCATTATGAAAATTGCATTAAGGAGTAAAACTGTAATATTATTTGAACCGGCGCGTATTTACGTATTTTGTAAAACAAAACGGTTTTGGCAAAATCTGCAGTTCATACTGGCCTTATGCAGGGTGAAAACTACCGAAATGCATGTTTAGACACACAACTTTTATTATTGCATATCAGCATATCGTCACGTGCAGAAGGACGGGTTAGATGAAATTAAAAACTATTAAAACGTAAAGCTTAAAAGCTCGTAAGCACTAATCAGTCAGTCATTATAATGATAAACTGGCTACTGAAAGTTTGTGGTTACTGAACTCGACTGTTCGAACAGTATTTAATGATTCAATAGTTACAATAAGTCTAGAAATAAGTTCTTGATTATCCTGATAACATAACAGATTTGATTAAAAGTCTATATTGGCTAATTACTATTAATAATCCAGGATTAGAAGTAATGGGGAAAGAAAAAACTAGGAATTTGTTAATAGTTGGTCAAACTGGTGGTGGTAAATCTACATTAGCGAATGTACTAAGCGGTATTGTTGATTCCGAGGAACACTCAATTAGCGAGAATGAAAATTTCCAGAAAAAGGATTTCGAATGGAGAGGGACGAAATATCGTGTGGTTGATACTATCGGAAAAGAGGTCACATACGAAAAAATGGGGGAATTAATCCATTTGATACCGGAAGGGTTAAACCAAGTTCTATTGGTGATTGATGGAAAATTCATGATAAAGGAAAAAATAGGATTATCCGAGTTATTTAGAAAATTAATTTTTGAAGATGGTATTGCCGAATATATCACTATTGTGAGAACTAAATTTAGTAACTTTAAAAATGAAAGTGAGTGCAAAAAAGATAAAGAAGATTTGTGCAAGGAAAGTAAAACAATTGCCAAATTATGTAAAAATATAGTCTATGTAGACAATCCCCCGATAAGTATTTTTGTTGATGATGAAGACGATGAAGAAACAATTAGAATCAATAGAAAAAGAAGAGATCAGTCAAGAAATATACTATTAGAACATTTGGAGAAAACATGTCACAAATTAGAAAAGTGGGATAATTTATGTGCTAAAATTGACAGTTATATTCCCGTTTGAGGTGTTTGAGGTGTGCAATATAGCAATCTTAATATTCCATTTTCTTTGATTTTATTTTGTATTAATGTTTGATATGGTATTTTATCAATAAATATTTTTTTAAATCAGCTGTTTAGATTTCACATTGTTTGCATCGTGAAAATTATTACGATAAAAAGTATATCAATCCTGTTTAGAAGCAGATCAAGGCTCATTGTTAATTGAGCCTCTCCACTCCAAATATAATAGCTGAATTTCTTCTGGCTTATCTTCTTTACAAAGTCAATCAGATTAATCACTCTTTGATTCTAACATTGCATTGATTTAAATTAAAACTTTAAAAATTCCCGTTTATCTACTTCGAAATCGATTATTTCAAATATTACTTTTCGTGATTCTAATACAATCATCAAGTTTTAGTATCACAATCGCAATTCACTTATTCAATTTGCGGTCGAAATTACATTGCAAAGCGTGTACATTCACGATCGCATTCTTAAATATATAAATTTTATATTTTATTTCTATTTTTCTTAATTTTTCCTTAAAAAAATATTCACTAATCATATAAATTGGTATCTTCAGTTCAAATATTGATTTACCAATCATCAATTTTAAGTAATTGTACAAAATGATTCGGTTATTTTAATAAGTGTCTCAACTTCTTTATTCTTTTCTAACTCTGGTGGTACATCTTCACAATTACTTTCTAAATATTCGGCAATCGGTTTACGTATCTGATCCCACGTTTTTAATCTGAAGTAATCCACCTGACATGCTTTGTCTAAATAGTCTAAAATTATTTTTCTTGACCTGTCTCTTATTTTTTTATTGGTTATAACTGTTTCTTCATCTTCTTCATCGATAATTTGAATATTAGTCGGAGGATTGTCTACATAAATAACATCTCTACATGATCTAACTATGTTAGCAATGTTTTCATTCTCATTATGCAATTGTTTCTTATCTGCCTCACACTTATCTTTATTCTTAAAGTTACTGAATTTAGTTCTCACAATAGTAACATAATCAAGAATACCAATTTCAAAAATGTCGAAAATGGAACCTTTAAGCATATTAAATATTTTTGCTTCTTCCGCTGTGAATCTTCCATCAATCACAAATAAAATTTGGCTTATTCCCTCTGGTATGGAAAAAATTCCATCTAATACTTTATACAAAACCTTCTTTGTAGATAATTTAGTATCCCCAACTCCAATGGTATCAACCACATTAAAACTCTTCCCATTCCATTCAAAATTCTTTTTCTGAAAATTTTTAGTAACGCTAATTGAGCTCCCACTTTCCTCAAAAACATCAGATTCAGTTATTACATTGGATAATGTGGATTTGCCACCACCGGTACGGCCAACTATTATTAAATTCTTCGTAATTCTCTTCTCAATAATTTTCAAGTCAGGAGGATATTTAAACATTTTAGACTTAATACTATCTTGTTCATATTCCTTCAACAGAAATTTGCAGTTGTTTATGTCAAGACTAGGTAATTTACTATTAGAACAATCAAGAAATTCCAATTTGGAACAGTTGCTTATATCTAAATTAACAAGCTTATTATTATTGGAACAATCAAGTGTTTCGAGATTCGGACAAAGATTAACACTTAATATCTTAATTGAAGTATTCGAACAATTGAGTTTAGTAAGATCGCTAACTTCTAACTCAGTTAACCTCTCATTTGATGAACAATCAAGCTTGGTTATATTTGGACAATCAATTATAGATAAACTCGTAAGTTTAGGAGCCTTGGACAAGCTGATAATATCTTTAAGTTTAGTACATCCGCTTATTTCCAAACTAGTTAACGCATTTGTTGAATAATCAAGCGTAGTAAGTTTTGGACAATCAATCACGAATAAACTCTGAAGTTTAGAAGACTTGGGCAAGTTGGTAATCTTAATAAGTTGAACACAATCACTTATTTTCAAACTAATTAATTTCTCAGTCGATGAACAATCAAGTGTGGTTAGGTTTTGATAACCTCTCAAATATAAACTCTGAAGTTTAGTAAATTTAGATAAGTCAATATTGTTAAGTCGATAACAACCACTTAATTCCAAACTAGTTAACCCATTTGATAAACAATTAAGCGTGATTAGTTTTGGACAACCGGACACCGATAAACTCGTAAGTTTGGTAAGTTCAGACAAGTTGGTAATATTAAGTTGAGAACATTTACTTATTTCCAAATAGGCTATCTTGAGTTTCTTCAAATTAATACTTTCTAAATTGTTAAATCTTTCTATTTTTAAAGAACCAGTAAAGTTTAAGCGCCTACCACCAGTAATAACTATAGCTTTTCCTTCCGAATATTTTTCATCAAACCATTGTTGATCTTTTCGACCTTTATTTTTTGACATATTTGTTTTCTTTCGTTATAAGGTCAAGAATTTTTTGTGGTGCAACGAAGTTTTCATTATTATTTCCTGAACGATATGTTGTGATACGTTACCCACTACGTTAGGCACATCTGAAACATAAACTTCCATGTAAAGTGAGAAGACAACATGTGATCTTAATAATTTATAAATAATATCAAAATGAATCTTTTTTTACTCCGAAAGGAATAAGAAATGAACAAATTTATTTAGATGAGTGGAAACAATAAAAGATTTTAGATGCGAACAAAGTTAAAAAATGGGAGGTAAAGCACAATATTGATTTACAAAATATAAAGAATAGTAATGTAAAAGTAGGAGACGAAAATAAATAATATATAGGAATTTTAAATAGAGTCACAAAAAAAAGAATTCATAAAAATAGATAGATGGAAGTGGCTTTAGAAAATAATGAATCAATTTTACATTAGTAATAGTAGACTTAATAATACAGATGGTGATCTAAATGATCCAGCCACTTTTCAATGCAAAAAAATTTATATACATATATTACAGTCAAACCTTTATATAATGATACGTCGGGACATATATGAAATTTTTAGAAAATATCATTATATCAAAGTTATACCGATATTTATATGTCCTCACATATAGTGGGAAAATAAAATTTTATTGGTATATCAAGTTTTTAATAGTATATTGGTATATCGAATATCGGTATATCGAGGGTAGACTGTATGCAGTTCACCCTCTCTATAGTGAATTTTTATATAGTGAATAACTTGCTATAATAAGAAAAGTTCAGATATAAGGTTTTTTTTTATATATAATAAAATGATTCTCAGTATAGTGAATTTCTTACTATAACAAATTTTAATCTTCAGCCCATAGGGTTCACTATAGTAAGGGTGAACTGTAGATAAAATTTTAAGCTAAATATAATCATTATATTTTTGTTTATTAATTAATAATAAATTCTATTTATATTTGCAAAAATAGTTGCATCAATTCTAAAATATACTAGCAATTGATTTTTTATAATATTCCAGAAAAATATTTTTCCATACTATATGATTTCAATATTTTTTCCAAGTACTTAACATAAAATTTAATAAGCAAGTTATAGTAGGTTGATATTGCGACATTTATCAAATACAAATTATTTAATAAATATTTAAAGAGTTTTGTAATTTATCGCCATGGCGATACATCACCACTTGTTACGTGACCATAGTGATCATGTGATATATGCATATGTTTTAAATATATCGTAATAAAGATAATCTTTAACATTACTATGCAATAATAATAGAGATACCCCTATTCTTCAATAAATGATATTAAATTGTCTGGAACACCGAACACCTGTGTTTATTTGTTTCCATTTTTTCAATAAACTGATAACCTATAATCTCATTTTTCAAAAGCAGATAAACAGGATGTACATTTCTTGGCTAACGCCCTTACAGCTGAGATGAGCAACGAGATCTTATACAAGACCATTATTAATGTGAATACAAGGAAAATATTATAGATGCATAAGATACATATTGGCACCTCTTTAAAATATTACCTACACCATCAATATCAATTGCGTAAATTACATATGATTAATCAAAGTGATAGAATGAGAGAAAAAGTTTTAGTAAGACTTTAACGAATGTCAAATTATGTGATTGACTTGTTCATATTCATGCAGAAAAAATAAAACTGAAATTTACTAAAGATAGATGGAGATGACCACTTTACAAAATATATATGGGTTTAGATACTTCTGATGACATAAAAGAGTTAGAGAAACATCCTAATAATACACATTCTTTACAATCATCAAAGAAAACCTGTACTTAAAGATGTGATATGTAATTATTTTTAGAAGGTTGTAAGGTTGCAACTATTACAACATACATACAACACTTTTGTTGTAATTGCAATACAATATTATAATTATTATATAGTATTATAATACTATTAGTATTGTAATTATTATATAGTGTTGTAATTATTTTTAATTATACAAATATGTATTATAATATATTAATTATTTCTTTTTATAATTATATTTATTCTATAAAAACTTATTTTTGTAATTTTTATTTTTCAAAAAGAAAATTTTTGAATAATTATAAGTGTTGTAATATTACAACACTTTAACTTTAAAAGTAGTAATAGATTGCAACTCTTACTATTACAATATAAGGTAGTAATTATCAATTACATACTACATCTTTACCTGTACTATACCTAAAAGGATGATAAATCACCATATATTCCATTAGAAATAAATTGGTTTTCCAATCTCATCTACACTTTTCTACAACCAATTGATAATTTACATCTGGCTGTTAAAAATGATATGATGGATTCATCATCTGCTGATGGATCTTCCTCTTATTAATAGTTTACCCTTTGAGTTCGCTATATCCTTTAGATTACAGTCAACCCTTATTATAATGAACCCTAGGGTTTAGACTTTAACTTCGCTATAAGCACTGATCAGAATAGTCCATTTCGTCCAAATTTCAAATTGACGAATGTTGGACGAAAGTTGGTTTAAATTCGGCAAAAAAATCGTCAAAATTATTATGAACGATTTGCACAGTTCGCCTGCCACTTGGCAATCACAAATCGGCAAAAATTCATTAAAAAATCGGAAATAAACTATTCATCAACCTTTTACTAGACATTCGTCCAAATTCAAATTGCTGAATGTTGGTGAAATTGAGTTTAATTTTGTCTTATTGTTAACGATTTTTATGTATTTAGCTTATTTTAATTTTGCAATAACAATCAATAAATTATATTTTATTTTTTCACTTTATTAAAATTACACATTAAAAATTATCATATTAAATATCAAATATCTACAGTATCTGTCTATTTACACCTACCATCCACCATCCACCATTTACCATTTATCATTTACCATTCACTATCCATTGTCAACCATTGTCAACCATCGTCAACCATCGTTCACATCCATCGTCTACTACCCATCATCCACCATCCATCATCCACCATCGTCTACCATCATCCACTTATCCAAAATTATCTACGTTCATCCAAAGCCTAAGAACCGAAAGCCGAATTCTACAAAATAGAAAAATAAATTAAAATAAAAATTAAAAAAAATATTTTTTTTAAAGTTTTGAAGTTTTGAAACTCACCCATATATCCAAACCCAAGAACCGAAAGCCAAATTCTACAAAATAGAAAAATAAATTAAAATAAAAATTAAAAAAAATATTTTTTTTTTAATAAAGTTTCGAAATTTTACTTCGAAACTCACCTGTACATCCAAAGCCCATGAACTGAAAGCCGAAATCTACAAAATAAAAAAATAAATTAAAAAAAATTTTAAAAAAAAATAATTTATTTTAAAGAGTTTCGATTCCTTCGCTTCGAAACTCAACTCACCTATATATCTAACGCGAAGCCGAAACCTACAAAATAGAAGAAAAAAAAAATCAAATAAAATATAATAAAAATAAAAAAACTAAGATTTGTATTTGTACTTACGAATCTTGGTTCATCTATTCGTCGGAAATCCACCCGACCTATAAAAAAAAAGAGAGGAACGGTTATTAGTAACCGTTCGTAATATTAAAAATAAAAAAAAAATAAAACCAAGATTCGTATATACTTACGAATCTTGGTTTTCCGATCTTTGGAAGACCACTCAAACCTAAAAAAATGTGTATAAGAGACAGCAATTAGCGAGAATGAAAATTTCCAGAAAAAGGATTTCGAATGGAGAGGGACGAAATATCGTGTGGTTGATACTATCGGAAAAGAGGTCACATACGAAAAAATGGGGGAATTAATCCATTTGATACCGGAAGGGTTAAACCAAGTTCTATTGGTGATTGATGGAAAATTCATGATAAAGGAAAAAATAGGATTATCCGAGTTATTTAGAAAATTAATTTTTGAAGATGGTATTGCCGAATATATCACTATTGTGAGAACTAAATTTAGTAACTTTAAAAATGAAAGTGAGTGCAAAAAAGATAAAGAAGATTTGTGCAAGGAAAGTAAAACAATTGCCAAATTATGTAAAAATATAGTCTATGTAGACAATCCCCCGATAAGTATTTTTGTTGATGATGAAGACGATGAAGAAACAATTAGAATCAATAGAAAAAGAAGAGATCAGTCAAGAAATATACTATTAGAACATTTGGAGAAAACATGTCACAAATTAGAAAAGTGGGATAATTTATGTGCTAAAATTGACAGTTATATTCCCGTTTGAGGTGTTTGAGGTGTGCAATATAGCAATCTTAATATTCCATTTTCTTTGATTTTATTTTGTATTAATGTTTGATATGGTATTTTATCAATAAATATTTTTTTAAATCAGCTGTTTAGATTTCACATTGTTTGCATCGTGAAAATTATTACGATAAAAAGTATATCAATCCTGTTTAGAAGCAGATCAAGGCTCATTGTTAATTGAGCCTCTCCACTCCAAATATAATAGCTGAATTTCTTCTGGCTTATCTTCTTTACAAAGTCAATCAGATTAATCACTCTTTGATTCTAACATTGCATTGATTTAAATTAAAACTTTAAAAATTCCCGTTTATCTACTTCGAAATCGATTATTTCAAATATTACTTTTCGTGATTCTAATACAATCATCAAGTTTTAGTATCACAATCGCAATTCACTTATTCAATTTGCGGTCGAAATTACATTGCAAAGCGTGTACATTCACGATCGCATTCTTAAATATATAAATTTTATATTTTATTTCTATTTTTCTTAATTTTTCCTTAAAAAAATATTCACTAATCATATAAATTGGTATCTTCAGTTCAAATATTGATTTACCAATCATCAATTTTAAGTAATTGTACAAAATGATTCGGTTATTTTAATAAGTGTCTCAACTTCTTTATTCTTTTCTAACTCTGGTGGTACATCTTCACAATTACTTTCTAAATATTCGGCAATCGGTTTACGTATCTGATCCCACGTTTTTAATCTGAAGTAATCCACCTGACATGCTTTGTCTAAATAGTCTAAAATTATTTTTCTTGACCTGTCTCTTATTTTTTTATTGGTTATAACTGTTTCTTCATCTTCTTCATCGATAATTTGAATATTAGTCGGAGGATTGTCTACATAAATAACATCTCTACATGATCTAACTATGTTAGCAATGTTTTCATTCTCATTATGCAATTGTTTCTTATCTGCCTCACACTTATCTTTATTCTTAAAGTTACTGAATTTAGTTCTCACAATAGTAACATAATCAAGAATACCAATTTCAAAAATGTCGAAAATGGAACCTTTAAGCATATTAAATANATCGTTTAAAAATCGTCAAAAAAGTTTTTAAGTTGATTGTTTGTTGTTAATAAAAATCAATAAAAAAAAATATTGGTCGATTTATAAATTTTTTTATGTTACAACTCAACCAAAAATCGACCTAAAATCGACCAGTTGATTTATGCCGAATTTTTTCTGATTTTTGTAATTAGCTGAATGTGTGACGAATCATGTGATCGATTTGCCGAATTGTTGCCGAAAGGTCTTATTGACGAAATAAATGATTTTGACCAGTGAAGATTATAGTGAAGATTTTAAGAGATTTGATTGGTTAATTCGTTATGAAAGGAAATTTATTATAGTTGTCTGAAAAATTCACTATATCAAGAGTTCGCTAAATTTGAACACCTTAACTTAAAATAGTGTGAATCATTTTACCTCTCATAGTATTTACAGGTAATATCTTTGGACAAATGAAAAATATGGGTTCAGCAGTTTTTGGTCTTTAGGTCCTAGATTTCTGTATTGATTTTAGTTCATAATACTAGTTATAGTATAGTTTTATCTTTAGTATAATTTAATAGATAATATTCACTCCTCTTCTAGAATTTTAATGTTATAAAATATACCCAGTTAGTTCAATTGGTAGAATACTGAGTAATTGTAGTTTTTTTTACTCTAAAATGCAGGTTCGATTCCTGCACTGGGAAAACTTTTTTTTTAATGATATGGAGGTTTTTACAATAGAAAGATACAAAACTCAAAAAATATCAAAAATTGAATTAATATTAAATTTGTATTTATTTTAATAAAAAAAACATAATTAGCATATAAAGTAAAATTAAAATTTTTTTTGAGGTTTGTACCTTTCTATTGTAAAGACCCCATATGGTGATTTGGATGTTTGGTGATATTAATGATTATAAACATGAAATAAAAACATGTTTAAAATATATCTTTAATTTTTTAATAATTTCACTATTCAAATTCCGATATCATCAGTGATTAAAAATACAAAATCGTGAATCAAAATCAATACTTGCTACTTTATTTACTAAATAATCAATCGTACTTACATATCAATTATCTAAATTAATCATTAAACCTAATCTAAGCATTACAATTTTTTTGATAATATCCCAATTGTCCACATTTTTTACAATGCCATTGCTTTGTTTTACTACTCCCCTCCTTTTATATGATGCTTTATATTTTCTTGTACCAGCTGATCTTCCTTTACCTTGCCTAATTTTTGGATTTTGTAATTAAAATACCTTTTCATTACTTCTATCATTTACATCACCTAATTCTTCTTTAGATTCGTTATTTGATTCAACTTTATTTTTACTACTATCTTCATTAGTAAAATTTTCAAGGATTTCAATTAGTTGCAATGATTGAAATTTCTTTTGTAAAGCTTTTTGTAATGTTTTCTTATATGTTATATGAAGATTACCATACATTATTTTTTTGTCAAGAATGTTCATTCTCTATTCAAGGGAGTCTTGCTTTTCTTTATCAATGGCACATAAATAATTATTAACAACTACACCACTTTCTATAGTTGCAAATGGACTATTAAACTTATCAACAATAAATGGATTATTTGATACATCCTTGTTTTCTTAGTACCATCTAGATGGAATAAGCCTAACATGAAATTTGGCTTCTTGAGTGTTCAACATAACTTGAAAATAATGTCTACAAACTATCCCTTTCAGATAATCATATAATATAAACATAAGTGCACCTCATTTTTTAGAAGAATGATATAATATTTGGATTTTAATGAATTAGTATTATTTATTTTATGAGGAGTTGGAGATAATAGGGTTTTTTTCCCAAAGGGAAAAAAACCCTATTGTTTTCCTTCCCAGGAAATAAATGGGTAATCCCCTGGAGCGTGTCACTCATTAAACATTAACTATTTTAACTATTTTAAACTAAAATTAGTAATTTCCCAGCTATCTATATGAGCCGGGAAATAACTAAATGAAGATTCCCAGTCATTTATGAACTCAGCTAATCACTCGCAATTTTTAAAAATTAGTATAAAGGTGATCATGAGTGACACTTAGTGCGACAAGGAATTATTAACCTTCATTTATTTTCTATGTTTCTTTAATATTATCCTGATCACTAACTTTTATCAACTGGTCAATAGTAGCTTGAAGATTATTGTCATATTCTCCATCTTCTTCATAAGATTCATCAATTGTTAACTCCCATTGTTCAACTAAATTTGCAACATAATAGACTGATTGGTTGATTTTATTTTTTTATAACTTTAGAATAGCTGGTGTAAGAATTCTTTGACAGCTTTTATCTACCCTTGTAAATAAAAAATTTACTTTTTACCAATGGAATTGCAAATTTCCAAAATTGGTATTTGTTTTTTTATCTTGCTCATCAAGCAACTTATGAATTTCATTCATAAGCCCATAAAGAGAAACATTTGAGTTAAATAGCATCCTTTTGATACAGGAATTAACAGATTTAACTCATGATGAAGCAAATTTAAAGCTCTGAATCTAACCCAATGGGTCGGGTGTAAGGTTGCTGGGTGAAACTAAGTAGTTTAGACAATTATTGAAATCGAAACTAGTTGAAACATTTTATTAAAAAATTAAAAATTTGTAAAACTGCGAAACTGACGAAACTGGTAAAACTGTAAAAGGTTTAGACATATTTTTACATAGTAATTAATAAAGTTTACCATTTATTATAATAAATTATATAATTTAATATAAATTTAACCAGTTTTGCAATTATAAAAATTATAAAATTTAATATACATTATATTAATTATTTAAATCATTATATATATTAAAATATATAGTAAGTTTAATTAATAACCAGTTTTATAATTTTACTTTTTATATATTCACAGGTCAAAAAAGAATCTATCATACACATATCGGGTACCTATATATCGGTAACCAATTAGGTACATATCGGGTATATATACATATTAACAATATATCGGGTACCAGATTTGATTTTTAATGTGAAACTTCAAATATAGTTAAATTATCAGGTATCCGATATCTAAACTATTAGTTACCAGTATGTTATATAATATATATCAGGTATCCGATATGTGTATCACTGGTCAAAATCGATTCTATCAGGTACATATCGGGTACCTATATATCAGTGACTAATCAGTTATATATCGGGCATTTTTACATATCAGGTACCCGATTTATCACATTAAAAATACTCCTAAAAATTGAGACCCTAATATCTAAACTATTAGTCACCAATATATTTCTAATAGATATCGGGCACCGATATTTGTATGAAATTCTAATAATCGGAGGTACTATGTGTGACACAAATTTTTCTATTTGGTTAAAATCTAATCGACAGTCATCTGACTGATCATTAATAATTTTTAAGATCGTTTAAATATATATTTATTCTTTTTTTTAGAATGCTGGATCTCTTGTTTGTAGAATAACGGGACTTCTTTTTTCGCTAGATTTTTGAATGAATCTGGATTGGAATGTAGTAAGAAATAGAGAAGGGGAGAAGAACTTTTTGTTAATTTTAAAGAAACATAGTAAGGAATAGAGGGGGAGATTTCCTTTTAATATTAAAGAAACGTACTAACATTTCTTTCTTTCTTTTTTTTAGGTTTTCAGACTTTTTAAATGAACTTAGACTTGAAATGTAAGAAATAGAGGAGGAGGGGGTTTCTTTTTAATATTAAAGAAACGTACTAACATTTCTTTCTTTTTTTACTGATACTATATATATATATAAATGTTGATTCTTATAAGTACATTGCTTAAAAAAAACGTTACATTAATATTGAATACATCAATTTCTTATATGACATGGCCAAAGATCGTGTTTTAGTAGGTTTTATATATAAAAGTTCCTTTAAAAATAAAATATGTATTGTGATTACAAAATAATTCCTAATATATGGAATTTTTATAAAACTTTATTATTTTTTTTTTTAAAAAAAAATTATATTAAAAATTATTCATACGATAAAAAAA